TCCCCACCCCGCAGCACCTGAGGAAGAAGAACGCGGAGCTGGAGGAGCGGTACCGGGACACGACCGTGCCCAGGCCGGACTATTGGTGAGCGCGGGAGGCTGAGCCCCCCAAAACCCCCCCCAAAACCCCCTAAATCCCCCCCAAATCCCCCCTGAACCCCCGGGTGACCCTTCCAGGGGCGCGTACATCGTGGAGCCGGAGGTGCTGGAGTTCTGGCAGGGCCAAACGAACCGGCTGCACGACCGGATCGTGTTCCGGCGGCTGCGGGACCGCGCGGCGCCGCTCGGGGCCATGACCCACCGGGCCCACGGGGACTGGGTCTACGAGCGCTTGTCGCCCTGAGCACGGCCCCGGAATGTCGCCAGTGTCGCCACCCCGCCCTGTCCCTTGTCGTGTGATGGGAAATGGCTTCGGAGCTGCGCTCAGCCCGGTGTGTCCCCAAATCCGGCTGCGACCGCTGTCGGTGGTTAATTAACCGTGTTAATGATTGTGCAGGATCTGACTGTGACCCCTCCCTGTCCCTGATCGTGTGCTGGGGAATGGGTTCAGAGCTGCCTGGTGTGTCCCCAAATCCATCTCCAGCTGCTCCTTGTGGTTAATTAATCGTGTTAATGATTGTGCAGGGTCCGGCTGTGACCCCAGTGACCCCCCTGTCCCTGTCACTGGTAGTGTGCTGGGAAATGGGTTCGGAGCTGCCCTCATCCCTATCCCTGATGTGTCCCCAAATCCATCTCCAGTGGCTCTTGGTGGTTAATTAATCGTGTTAATGACTGTGCAGGGTCCGGCTGTGACCCCCCTGTCCCTGTCCGGCCGCTGCCGCCTCTCTCCATGTTTTAGCTGGAATCCTGGAATGCGTTCAATTCCCAATCCATTGTTGCTGTTGTTTAATTAACTTAAATCGTGTCTCCGCTGTCCCAGAGCCGTGAAACCCCAACCCTCACCCCGTCCCCTCCTCCAGCTGCTTGGAAAAATATAAATCTGGATTTCTGTGGAGGCGCCAAGGCTTTGAGTTAATATCGGGTTAATATTTACCCAGGCAGGGCCGGGCTCTCCCGGGGCAGCCGGAGCTGCCGGGAATCCCAGCCCTGGACCCGGCCCTGGGTGAAACCAATCCCTAAAATCCTCCCCGGTTCCGTGTTTGCTGTCCCAGAGACACAAAGGGGGTCCTGTCCTGGGGGGTTCCCGTCTTTGGGGGTGACAGTGCAGCCCTGGCATGGAGGGACGGTGGCCACGGGGCTGACGCACCCTTTGTGCCACTGTCACGGTCCCCTGAGTGCCTCTGGACCCTCCCAGCTGTGCCTTGGGAAGGACAGGAGGGGACAGGGCGATGTCGCACGAAGAGTCTCCCAAATTCCAGGGGGAGGGGGATAAAAGCACCGAGGGGGCTCCGCTCTCCTCCGCTTCCCGCTGGGACACGATCCCAGGATCCCAGCGCGACAAGGAACGGGCTGGGAGCAAACAGAGCCGAGGGTGGGGACCGGGAGGGACCCTGGCACCGGCCCCGTGCCGGGAAACCGGGGTTGGGCTCGGGCTTTTGGCACCGTCCGGCTTTTGGCGGAGCTGGGAAGGGGCTGGAGCTGCGGAGCTCCGGAACGGCCGCGCCCTGCGGAGCTGGGAGAGTTCCCCGGGCTCCGGCCAGCCCCGAGTGTCCCCTTGTCCAGGGGGCCAGGGATTGCCCGGGATGGCTCTCAGAGAGATTCCAGAAGGATCCAGAGTTTTCCCACCTTTCCATGCCCAGTTTCGGGATCCGCCTCTGCTTCTTCTTCCTTCACCCGGTCAGGGATTCCCCGGGATGGCCCCGCTCCCACTCGCGTCCCGGAGGAATCCGGAGCCTTCCCACCCTTCCAGGCTGGGTCCAGGGATCCTCGGAGCTCTCCCGGAGCTGCCTCCGCTCCCAGGCTCGGTTTATTAACCACAGTTAATTAGCAGCAGGCGCAAGGAGCCCCGGGGTGGGTTCCCCTTTTCCAGCAGCAGGGAGCGACTCCCTGGGGAATGCGGCTCCTCCTGGGAGCGCTCCGTGGTTCCCGCGGGGGGGATTTGTCCCGCAGGGTCGTTCCCTCGGGGCAGGGAAATGTCGCATCCCCTCTCGGGGGTGACATCGGCAAGGAGGCGCCATCGGCGCCCCTCGGGATTGGGGCACAAAAAGTGACCAAAAGTGACGGGAGAAGGGGATTGGGGCACAAAAAGTGACCGAAAGTGACCAAAAGTGACGGGAGGAGGGGATTGGGAATGGGGTTGGGGCAGAGGCATGGGGGGAGTGTCCTCATCCCAGTACGAACCAGTCAGCGCTGGGGAGCTGGGGAGGGACGGGGAGCGCCGGCCCCGCTCTACCCCGGGGTCAGTCCTGCAGGCTCCCGGATTATCCCACAGATAAATTCCACCCTGAGTCCTCTCTGCTCCGCGTCCCCGAGCGGCGACATCCGCCGGGGTCACTTCTCCTCGCGCTCGCCGGCCCCGCACAGGTTGGGATGCTCGGCCAGCGTCGCCCTCACTTTTTTCTTCTCCTTGAAGCGCCCGGAGTGCGAGACCTTGACGTGTTTGCCCTTGGTGTTCTTGTCCACGATCTTCTCCAGGCGGGCGGCGTAGCCGGGTGGCCCCTCCGGGCCCGTCCCCTCCGCGCTGTCCCCGCCCGGTGCCCCGTGCCCGTCGGGGCTCTCGTACAGCACCGTGGGCGCTGCCTGGCGCTTCCGCAGGAACGTCAGCTTCCACCAGCCGTGCCCGTCGGCCATCCTGGAACAGGATTCGGGGATTGTGTTCCCTCCTGGAATTCTCTCGTCCCTCCCCGGGGTTGCCCTCCCGGTGCTGGAGGAGGGAGGCGGCGCTTCCTCCCCATGGGATGCTCGTGGTGGGATCCCCGCGGGTAGAGGCAGGGGGTGGATGTCCCACGGCTCGGGAATTCCCGAGAAAAGCCGGGAAAAGGCCGCTGGCAGCGCCGGGAGCTCTGCCCTTATCAGCCACGTGTAGCGACCAGGCAGGGAGGGAGCGCGCTGAGCAAACAGGAACAGGAACTGTGGCGCAGGTGGCACCGGGGAGGTGCCTTGGGGGTCCCCACCTGCCGCACCCCGGGCTTAGGGCTCGTCTGACCCCGGTGGGGCCGGGCGGGAGCGCAGCGGGGGCCTGGGAAGGTTCCGGGAAGGCTCCGGAGCCGAGCGTGGCCCCGGGGCAGGAACCGAGGGAAGGCGGATCCCGAGCCCAGCGCTTCCCTGGCCGCGGGCACGGAGGGGATTCCCAGGGCCCTGATCATTCCCAGGGCCCTGATCCCATCCCGGGATTCAGCACAGCCCCGTTTTCCCGTCCCTGTCCCCATCCGTGTCCCCGTGGCGCTCAGCCACCAACTACCCCTCCCCGATGTCACCTCCGGCATCGTTTTGGGGGGATAAAAAATCCCCTTTTCCCTCTGGGACACGGGGACACGGGCACAGAGACTGCTGCCACCACCCCGCTGGTGGCCTCTGTGTCCCCAAAGCCCCCTCCCCGTGCCACAGCCAGGTGGGACCATCCCCGGCCGTGTCCCCAGAGTGTCCCCGGAGTTCCCACATCCCATCCCAGCACGGACACCCCATCCCGGTACCTGCTCCTGCCGCCTCCGGGGGTCCCGGGGGCGTCCCCGGGGTATCCCGGGGGTGTCTCAGGTGTCCTGGGGATGTCCTGGGAATGTCCCGGGGATGTCCCGGGGGTATCCCGGGGTGTCCCGGGGGGGCAGAGCGGGCAGGTGCCGCTCACCTGCCGCTGTCCCGGTGTTCCCGTCAAGGTGAACCCGCTCCCAAACCCCTCCTGCCGGAGCAAACAGTGGGGCCGGGCCAGGCGCGGCTGAATATTCATGACAGGGAACCGTGCCAGCCCTGGGCGGGTGGCCCTGGGTGGCCTCAGGTGGCCCTGGGTGGCCCTGGGTGGCCGTCACCGCCGCGGACCGGCCGTGGCAACGCCCGGGGCGCGGTGGCCTCGAGGTCCGGTGGCCGTGGCCCCGTGGCACGAGGGTCGGGCACCGGGAACCGAGGAATTGCGGCTCCCGGTGGGATCCCGCCGCTCCCGGAGGGATCCTGCTCGGTCACCGGCACCGTGTCCCCATGGGGTCTGTCCCCGCGGGGGGGACTCCCCAGCCCCTCCGGGACACGGGGACACCCCGGGACCCTCCCGGGGGGCTGGAGCTGCTCCCCCCGAGTGGATCCCGGGGGATGATCCCGAGGGATCCTGGCTCTGTAGGGGATTATCGGTCCCTGAGGGATCTGGGGTCTGCGCCAGGACCCCTCCCAGGGGTCTCCAATGGACGGGGTTCCTTTTGGGGCGGCTGCTGAGGGTCCAAGGGGGATCCTGGCTCTGTGTTGGGGCACCCCGTGGTTCCCAAGGGATCTGGGATCCTCTCTGGGAGCAGCTGGAGTTCCCTGAGGGGTTTGGGATCTGCTCCAGCCTCTCTCTCCAGCGATGCCCGAGAAAACTGGGATCCCCTCTGGGGTCTCCGGGGTTTCCAGGGGAATTCTGACTCTCCCAGAAGACCACGAGGGATCCGGGATCCGCTCTGGGGGATCCCTGAGGGATCGGGGGGGATCCGGGATCCCCTCTTGGGGGGGGGATCTGGAGATCCCCGCAGGGATTGGGATCTGCTCGGAGCCTCCCGGGGAGCCCCGCGGAAGGGCTGGGGGGGAATCCCGGGGATCCCGGCTCGGGGCTGCGGCACCTTAGGACCAGGACCGGGATTGGGGCCGGGTCTGAGACCGAGACTGGGACTAAGGCCGGAATTGGGATCGGGATCGGGATCAGGTTTGGGACTGGGACCGGGATTATGGCCGGGATCGGGATTGGGATATGAATTGGTACCAGGTTTGGAACTGGGATCCGGACCGGGATTGGGACCCTCGAACTCCCACCGCCCGCTCCGATTGGTCCGTTCCGACCCCGGCCCTTTCCATCTAGCCAATCGGAACGCCGGCACGTGGCGCTGCCTCCGCGCCGCTGTCTCTGATTGGTGAGTAGGCGGGACCTCTGGGCGGAGCGCTTTTTTATTGGCCGAGGCACGGGCTTTGAGGAAGACGATTGGCTGAGGCGGGGAAGGCGGAAGTGGAGAGGCGGTGACGGGAAAGATGCAGGTGCGGAGCGGGACCGGGACCGGGACCGGGGAAGGAATTGGGGAAGGGGCCGGGAGCGGGAACGGGAACAGCCTGGGCCTGGTGCCGGTGCCCGTGTCGGTGCCGGTGCCGGTGCCGGTTTCGGTGGCGGCAGCCCCGCTCCTGCCGTGTCCTCCCCCAGGTCTCTCCCCAGGACTACCAGAATGTTCCCATCGACATCCAGACCAGCAAACTCCTGGGTACGGGAACGACTCCCCGGGTCTGGCCTCTCCCGTCTCCCTTTTCCCTTCAAACCGGGGACGGAACCGGGATTTATCCCGTTTATCCCAATCCCTCATTTCCCTCCAAACGGGGGAAAGAACCGGGAATTTATTCCCGTGTTTGAACCCCCTCCCTTCTCATCCAGCTGGGGGAAGAGCCGGGAATTCCTCCCGGGGTTTGGCTCCCAAATCCCTCCTTTTCCCTTCAGAACTGGGAATTCCTCCCAGGCTTTGGGAAAAGGCTCGGGAATTCCTCCAAGTGTTTGTCCCCCATGCCCCTAGCTTGGGGATGTCCCCAGAGCCCGGGGGTGTCCCCGCTGTCCCTGTCCCCACTGTCCCTGTTCCCATATCCCCGCTATTCCTGTGTCCCCATAGCCCAGGGATGTCCCCAGCCCATGTCCCCATGTTCCTCTGTCCCTGTCCACAGCCCATGTCCCCACTGTCCCCATGTCGCTGTCCCCATGTCCATGTCCCCATGTCGCTGTCTGTGTCCCCATGTCGCTGTCGCTGTCCCCATGTCCCTGTCCCCATGTCGCTGTCCCCATGTCGCTGTCCTCATGTCGCTGTCCTCATGTCGCTGTCCTCATGTCGCTGTCGCTGTCCCCATGTCGCTGTCCCCATGTCGCTGTCGCTGTCCCCATGTCGCTGTCCTGTCCCAGACTGGCTGCTGGACCGGCGGCACTGCGGGCGGCGCTGGCAGGCTCAGGTGCAGCAGGTGCGGGAGCGGATCCAGGCGGCGCTGGGGGACATGCCCGAGCACCCCGAAATCCGAGAGCTGCTCCAGGGCTCCTGTGAGCGGGGATTGGGGTTTGGGGTTTGGGATTTGGGGTTTGGGGTTTGGGACATGCCCGAGCACCCCGAAATCCGAGAGCTGCTCCAGGGCTCCTGTGAGCCGGGTTGGAGTCTGGGGTTTGGGATTTGGGGTTTGGGGTCTGAGATTGGGGTTTGGGATTTGAGGTTTAGGATTTGAGGTGTGGGGATTGGGATTTGGGGATGGATCCCCTGCTGGAGAGCCAGGATTTGGGGTGGGGGGGGTCACACCCGGGATTTGTTCACCAAGGGGTGGTGGTAGCTCAAGAATCCCCCCAAACCTCCTGGGAATCCCCTAAAACCTCCTGGGAATCCCCTAAAACCTCCTGGGGATCCCCTAAACGCCCCCAGGAACCCCCAGGAGCCTCTCGAGGATCCCCCCGAAGCCCCCCCGGGTCCCCCAAAGCCCCTCTGGTGACCCCATTCCTGCTCCCCCAGTCCTGCACTACTTCCACTGCCTGCGCATCGTGGAGATCCTCAAGGGCACCGAGGCCTCCACCAAGAACCTCTTTGGGCGCTACTCGTCCCAGAGGATGAAGGTGGGAGCACCCTCCTCTTCCTCCTCCTCTTCCTCCTCCTCCCCTCCCTCCTCTTCCTCCTCTTTCTCTTTTTTCTCCTCCTCCTTTTCATCCTCCTCTTTCTCTTCATTCTTTTCTTCCTCCTCTTCTTCCTTGTCCTCCTCCTCTTCCTCCTCATCCTCCTCCTGCTCTTACTCCTGTTCCTCCTCATCGTCCTTTCTCTTCCTCCTCTTCCTCTTCCACCTCTTCCTCTCCTTCCTCCTCTTCCTCTTCTTCCTTTCCATCCTCCTCTTCCTCCTCTTCTGCCTCATTCTTTCCTTCCTCCTGCTCCTTCTCTTCCACCTCATTCTCTTCCTCCTCATCCTCCTCTTTTTATTCATCCTCCTCTTCCTCTTCTTCCTCTTCCTCCTCCTCCTGCTCCTCCTCCTCTTCTTCATCCTCCTCCTCCTCCTGACCCTGCTGTTGGTCCCCAGGACTGGCAGGAGATCGTGTCCCTCTACGAGAAGGAGAACGCTTACCTGGGTGAGGGGGGAGCAGGGGTGGGAATGGGGATGGGAATGGGGAAATGGGGAATGGGGAATGGGGATGGGGAATGGGGAATGAGGATGGGGAATGGGGAATGGGAAATGGGGATGGGAATGTGTGTATCAGTTAAAGGGGAAGATTTGAGATAATTGGGTTTTAAAAGTGGGGTGTCCCCCCCGAGCCGAGCTCTCCAGCCTGCTGAGGTGCAGCGTCAGTTCCAAGGGACTGGGGAAGATTTGGGATAATTGAATTTTAAAAGTGAACTGTCCCCCTCTCAGCTGAGCTCTCCAGCCTGCTGGGGCGCAGTGTCAGTTATGAGGGGCTGGGGAAGATTTGGGATAATTTGGTTTTAAAGGGGATATCCCCTCCCAGCTGAGCTCTCCAGCCTGCTGGGGCGCAGTGTCAGTTATGAGGTGCCGGCGCTGCGGCGGCAGCTGGGCCGGTGCCAGCAGACCCAGCAGGAGCTGGCACGGCGAGAGGACGAGTGCCAGCTCGGGGCCAGCGAGCTCCGGGAGCGATTCCTGGGCTCCTGCCGCCAGTACGGGATCACTGTGAGTGCCACACGGGGCTGGGAGAGGCTGGAACGGGACTGGGAGGGCGTGAAACAGGGATGGGAGAGGCTGAAACGGGGCTGGGAGAGGCTGGAACGGGGATGGGAGAGGCTGAAACGGGGATGGGAGAGCCTGAAATGGGGATGGGAGAGCCTGAAATGGGGATGGGAGAACCTGAAATGGGGATGGGAGAACCCTAAACGCATGTGGGATGACCCTAAATGGGGCTGAGATGACCCCAAATGGGGCTGGGATGACCCCAAATGGGGCTGGGATGACCCCAAACGGGGTTGGGATAGCCCCAAAAGGGGCTGAGATAGCCTCAAACCAGCCCCAAGTAGACCCTAAACCATCCCCACCCTTCAAAGCAGCTCCCCCGAGGGGTCACACTGGGACCAGAGTGTCCCCAAAGTGTCCCCAGGTGTCTCCAGTCTGTCCCTGTAGTGTCCCCAAGTGTCCACTCGGTGTCCCCAGGTGCCCCTGTAGTGTCCTCTCGGTGTCCCCAAGTGTCCCCTCGGTGTCCCCAGGGTGAGGACGTGCGCCGGGAGCTGCTGGCTCAGGTGCAGGCGCTGCCGTCGCTGCTGTCCCGCGTTGGGGACGGCGCCAGCGCCCTCGGGGACGCCATCGAGCTGTACGAGGCCAGCGTGGCCTTCGTGTGTGACAGGTGGGGACAGCCCTGACACCTCAAAACTGCCCCAAAACAGCCCCAAAACATCCCTCACCTCCCCTGAAACAGCCCCAGCTCCCCAAATCAGCCCCAAACCAGCTCCTGGTTCCTTCAAACCCCTGGTGCTGGGGATGCTGTAGTGTCCCCGTGCCCAATGTACCCATCCCCGATGACGTCCCCATCTCCAGTAATGTCCCCATCCTTGATGTCCCCCCATGCCTGATGTCCCCATCCATCCCCAATGTCCCCATCCCGATGTCCCCATCCCTGATATCTCCATCCATTCCTGATGTCCCCATGCCCAATGTCCCCTGCCCTGATGACATCCCCATCCCTGATATCCCCATGCCCCATGTCTCCATCCATCCCTGATGTCCCCACCCCTGGTGACATCCCCGTGCCCCATGTCCCCGTCCCTGATATCCCCATCCCCAGTGATGTCCCCATCCATTCCCAGTGTCCCCATTCCCAGTGATATCCCCATCCCCGATGATGTCCCCATCCATCCCCAATGATGTCCCCACCCCTGACGATGTCCCCGTCCATCCCTGATGTCCCCATCCCTGATATCCCCATCCCCAATGATGTCCCCACCCCCGACCATGTCGCCGTGTCCCCGCAGCCCCGGGGCCTCGGTGCTGCCGCTGCTCCGCCACGTTCAGCTCCACGGCAACTCCTCGGTTTTCCGCTGGCGCACGGGGCAGGAGCCGCGGCTGCTGCAGCGCCCGGAGCTGCGGGAGGCACCGGAGCCGCCCCCCGAGGACACGGTGGGTCCGGGGGGGGGACACGAGGGGTCCCGGATGGGACACGGGGGACCCCGGATGGCCCCGCTGGGCCGTTTTGGGGCCGGGCCGTGGCTCAGGGTAGGGGGGGATTTTGGGGCTCTTTTCCCGCAGATCGATTGGGGGGATTTCCCCGCGGAGCCGCCCCAGGGCGGGGACATCGACTGGGGCATCACGGTGGAGCCCAGTGCCCAGGTGGGTGACATCTCCGAGTGTCCTTGTGTCCCCAAATCTCCCCTGTGTCACCCTGTGTCACCTTGTGTCACCTTTTGTCCCTCAGGGGGACGATGACATCGATTGGGGTGATGGAGAGAAGGGGAAAATCACAGCAGAGCCCAGTCCCCAGGTGGGTGACATCCCCAGGTGTCCTTGTGTCCCCAAATGCTCCCTGTGTCACCCTTTGTCACCTTTTATTTCTCAGGGGGATGGTGGCATCAATTGGGGCGAAGTCCCTGTGTCCCCAAATCCTGCCTGATGTCACCCTTTGTCACCTTTTGTCCCTCAGGGGGACGATGGCATCGACTGGGGCGATGGAGAGAAGGGGACAATCACAGCAGAGCCCAGTCCCCAGGTGGGTGACATCCCCAGGGGTGTCCCTGTGTCCCCAAATC